TTGGGTAAGTAAATGTTTTTTTATTACAAGCTGCAAAAGTTTCCGCTCAGTCTGCTATCGATTTGTTTAAGGAAATTAAAAATAAGCGAACAAGTACAGATGGGAATGGAAGTTTCCGCAAGCATGTGCTTTATAGAAAATTATATTAGGCTTTCTCAAATGGAATATACACCTAAGCCTAATTAAAATAAAATGTTAAATATATCAAAACTTCATTCTTCATAATAGTACTAATTACAATGCAGAGGGAAACATTTCCGTTTTAATGATAGTCAAACGATTACAATATGAAATTAATATTTAGGTAATTATTTTGAAATGGTTACAAAGGATGGTCTAATAAAGCCCAGCTAAACAATCAGTTAACATAAACTGAAGTGCTCTACAAAAAGCTCGTATGGCAAACAAATTGACTGGCTTGAATGGAAATGAATAATTCAATTAAAATCGTAATGAAATTTCTAGAAAATGTATGTCAATTATGTGTGTGTGCGTGTGCTCTCCAGGTGTATCCATGTATATCAGCAGTACAACGTCATGTATGTAGCTGTACTCATGTCGATGTGTGAAGTCTAATCAAGTGTCTACCCCAGACCCCATTTGTAGAACCTTTCGCATATACATAAACACTTACACTAAGTGCCACAATTTACCCAAGGCCATAAATCAATAGCACCAAGCAGTCGTAGTCTCCGTTTCGTTATATTAATTATTATTATTGAAACATATCTGCCGCAGTCGCACCGACATTTCCCTCTGACCAGAGTGGAGCAAACAGAGAATTACAGGCATTAGCCAGTGTCAATACAGACGGAGAATCGGAGAAAGTTACCCTGTCAGCCTTAAATTATATTGTAGCCTACTTTTGTTTGTTCTTAACCAATGATAAGCCCTTCCAAACTACAGCTAAAAATTAAGCAAAGCTCTTAGGCGCTCCTCCCCCCCAAAGTATGCAATGGAAATTCAGTAATAAAACGAAACGAAATGCGATGGAGGAGGAGGTCGGTAGGAGCGGTCTAAATAATGTGCCAGAACGGTGAGCTGGTAATAAAAAATGCAGCAAGCAGCAGGCCAAGCGGAAACGGAAATAAGCAAGCAGTCCAAAAATCAGAAGAGAGAGAGAAAAGGACGCAGCAGCTGCAGGAACTTCATTCTGCTCTCTCCATCCCGGTCACTTATTTCGTACACAAAGTACATATTTTACTTAAACATAAGCAATGGCTATTATTTTAAGTTACCCACGCGCTCGCTGATTTAATTTCAGACTATTATGCGCACACAATGCCAACGGTAAACGCAGAGGGAAACTGGTGGAAAACTGAAAGCCCCAAGGAGGAAAAAAGTGTGGGAGAGAGTTGAAAGTTGCCCGGCAAGACGATGCTTTTAATACACTTTGCATAACTAACTGTCAGGGCTTTTATAGTTTTACGATATGATAGAATTACCTTTTGATAGAAACGTGGGGCAGCATAGGAAAACTGAAGCTTAAATAAATGGTGGTATGAACAAGATATTATGTAGATATTTTATAAAAATGGTAAACGGAGATGCGTTCGAAATCCTATGAACACTACCCAAACTCCTGTCTATTGAGTCTTGGTGTAATTCCTATACCCTTTCCTTGTAACCAGTGCAAAGTTTACTATATTCCCAGGCTATAGCAATATGCCAGTTGAGTTCTGGCCATAGTTTTGAGCTCATGTTGCTCTTTCACTTTTTATGCTGCATTTCTTTTCCTTCATTTTCTTGCCCCGTGCAGATTTGGGTCGACCATTTCAATGGGTTCATTTACTGCAGCTAGCAATGCCGCACCTAAAAAAAAATGCATCCTTCGGATTTAGCTTTTTTATGATATACTTTTCCCGCCTTTGGTCCTCCTTTAATTTTGTGTACTGGTCAACATTGAAAGTACATTAGCCTTTTCAGTTATTTTCTAACTTCCGGCAATCGTTGTCTGCTTAATGGTCGAGCTTCGGCTTCATATTTTAATACAACTTGTGCTTTATAAGAAAGTTATGCCTATTTAGAAAGAGGACCGATAAAGAAGACAAGATATAGAAATATATTGTGAAATTTCATTTAGCTTAAAACAAAATATAATTATTGAAGAAAACCCTAATTGCTGAAAGAAGAAGAATTGTCTTCTGAAATTTTAAACAACTATTTTGTCAACCTTCCGTATTTTATAATTAATAGTTTTCCAAATATTTAATTATACTGCAAAACAATGAAGCCGTTTATGTTCGTTTCTCAAGTTAAGCTAATCCACCAATAAGCTAATCAAAGCCAATTGCTGTCATTCCAAATTTTGATAGGTATTCCAACGAAACTCAATCGGTCATTCAAGTCTATTTCAAGTCAACTGTATTGGGCACAAAATAAAATCCGCAAAGAAATTTTCGCAAAACCGATGCCCAATTCCCCATAAAATAAAAGCGCACATTGTAAGCAGCTTTGATTACCGACACTCTCAACGGATTTGTTTCCCCTTGCCCGATCTTCTGCCACTTTTTTCCTGCAGTGTACGAGTGTGTGTGCTTAGGTATTTGAAACCTGATTAGTTGTCAAGCACTTCAAGTGCCCGAGCTCGAGTTGTTCGAGACCTATGTTGGTTTGAGCTTACCTCTGCAGCTGTGTGTGAAATTTATTGTTTCAAGTTAATGCCACTTGATGGATTATTTGGCTTTGTACAGCCAAAGCTTTGATTTCAATTTTTCTTTACTTTGAAATGTGATATTCGCCAGGGCGATTTAAAGCGCTTTCATTTGTAAGAGGGGGAACGATTTGGCGAAGCGAAATACGTGATATACAGCAAATACTAAACATTCTTTGATCAACATAACACATTTAATTAGCTCTTTTAATTTAACTGTGAGCTCACTACGTACGATATCACTTCATCGTCATTAAATTAAAACATGGTTTTATTTATTACACCTCAGGTCATTTGATATCGCGATTTGTGGACAGTGAATACCTGTAACATTTCATACTATGACATACATGACATGTTATTTGATTTAGTCTTACATTTGTATGAAATAGTATCCACAGGCGAACAAAGTTTTTCAACATCTGACAACCTATTTAATTGATTTCTTTAACATTCACTCTTTTTTATGGCCCTTACCTTCGAAAATTTGACCAAAACTATTTTTCCATGTTTTTAAACCATTTCAATTCCTCTCTATTATTTAATGAATTTTAATCTAGTTTTCTTATGTTCATTTAATGGGATAACAAGTTCTAACGTAAAAATAATTTAGTTCCAGGAATATGTTACATCTACTAATTGTTTCAGAGTCTTAATTTTAGAAATATTTCCGGAACTTTTATGGGCTCTGTTCGCAGCAGTCTGCTGCTTATATCGGATGTCCCACGACTCATCTTGGATAGTTCTGCTATTAACTATTAAAATTAATTGTGAAACTTTTCACTTCGAGCTTTATGCGAGTCACACGCTTCGTCTTCCATTTGGGCTCATAAATCTCGGCTGTCTACACACACCAACTCGCATCCTTTCAGCCGTTGTCCTCGAGAGCCTGTCAACAAAGGGCCAGTGAAAGTTTTCGTGTGTCATGACAATATTTACATGCTGCATTAAACTTGCTCCCCTTGACAGGCGAAACTTTTGCAGCTGCTGCTCATGTTATTAAAGTTGCGCATACGCCAGGTTGTCCCCTGGCCAGCTTGATTTATGCGAGAAGAAGCCTTAAGTTTTGGACCAGCCTTTTAATAATTTAAGCTCTGCAGAAAATCAGAGACGAGATAGCACCCCACCCCCGATGCTTCCCTGGCCGTTTGCCAAGCCACGTTGCGCTGACTGAGCCGAAAAATGCAAAAATTTCCTGCTGCCGCTCCTCGTTTCTGGCCATGTTGACAATGGCGGCAACAAAGCGCATTTGGCAAGAGCCTGCAGCCTTGCCAGCACCCATACCCATAGCTATATATAATATATGTACATACCCCTACCCATATCCACACTTACAATCACATTCACATCCACATGCGAAGACGTGCTCAGCAAAAGTGAAATGGCAACAATATATGTGCGAATGCGAATACGAATGTTACCAGTCCATCCACAATGCAACCGGGTGCGAGACCCACTGAGTTGTATACTACTCTGCTTGCCATATATATAGAAATAAAAAGTAGGTTATGCACAGACAGCATTTTAATATGATTTCCATGGCTTATGTCTCCTCGGGATAGACTAACGCACTTCTCAGACTGACTAACTGACGCCCCGGCATCAACAAAATGATCAAAGGCAATGGGAAATATTATCCCTGCCACAATCGCAGACAAATTGTAAGTTCCACTCATTTGTGTGACCCACTTTGACGTTGTGCCTTCAAAGAGATCAGTAGGGATTTTTGGCCATGCTGACTAAACTTATTAAGCTTTATGCCAGCAAAGCTTGACAAATGTTTATAAAAAATGCATTTGCAGCTGAAAAATTTAGGGAAGCAGAAGATGTGTTCAGCACATTTGAGCAGATTTCAAATTCTTTTTACTATACATAAAACAAAGCAGGACATCCTAATTATGTTATAAATATCGTAAAAAGCCCTTATTTTTCATCATGTTTGAGACAACATTTGCAATTTGGAATTAAGGCATATGCACTAAAATGAAATTCTTAAAAGACATTTTAATCCCCCAATTTTCCTACACCGCCTTATATTTGTTTCCAATAAAACTCTTTATTTTCATTCAATTCCGAAATATTATTATAAGAAGACTGCCTAAATTAAAGTGCAGAACCCTTTGTTTGCAATTGTTTTCGCTTTAATAGTATTACATTCCCACATAGCCCCAAGCTGAATAAAATAAATGTTTCTATTTTTAATGCTCCAGCCTTCCCAGCACCATGGCCTGCATTATTATTCCTAGCATACTTTTGAGCGCTCACTTTCGTCTGAAGATTAGGTATGTCGGTATAAAAGTATATGTACGTTTATTTTGGCTTCTATTTACTTGCCACATGCACTTACCCCTGTTTTGGCCGTATTGTATCCTTTTGCTGTGGCGTTTACTCCGCTTTTTGGCGTTTTTTACGGCCCTTGTAATAAAATCAGCCCGCAGGGGTTAGGAAATGGAGTTGTTGCTGCTGCTGTGCTTATTTCTTATTGCTCCTGTAGAGGGCGTGTTGGCATTGAGCGAGTTTTCATGCAGCCAGCGAGACGCACACACATCATATCAAAAGGAGCTGGAGGAGCGGCAGGCAATTGAGCAAAAAATATGGCAAAGTATTTGGCGGGTGCGAGGCATAAATTTCGATTTCGTCGGCCTTGCTTGTGCTGCTAACTTTCTCGTCTTCGAATCGCCGCCAGCCGCGAGGCCAATATTTAAAGTAGCAGCCGATGCGAACTTTATTTATGACTCAATAATGTGTATTTTGATTTATGCATTGTGGGCGCGTACTAAAGCGCACATACTTGTATATAGTCGTACACTGTAACTGCGGCACACACATACACACTCCCAATCGCACTCACTCACACACACTCACTGTATTGTTGCCTCAAGCCAAAAAGGACGCGATTTGCATAACAACACATTCAGAAACTTAACGCAGGCGTTTGAGATGTTTCTACTTCTACTCCTACTAGCACGTGCACTCTCGTCTCGCTTGACGTTTTTCTATTTTCATTTATTTATTTTTATTTGTGTTGTATATTCAGCATTCAACAATTGCGATAACCGATTGAGATATACCTTCGAATAGCTTGGCTGGCACTTGTTTCTTGATTTCCAGCCCAATTGCTTCGTTTGCCAGTTTGCGGATGCGGATGCGGACGGTCAACACTGCGGCTACGCGATGTGAGGCGATGCGATACGATGCGATGTCCGTGCGACAGCGACAACGACAACGACAACACGACAACGAGAACGACTACGACAACGGCAAACGGCGGCAACGGAGCACGACAACTACACAAATCCACGACCTTTTCAGTACTAAAGCGCCTGGCCATTCATTCGTGGCTTTGGCCACTTTTGCCATCGCCCTCCACGATTCGGATCCTTCGGCTTTCGCTCGGGTCGCGCATTTTCGACTTGCCGAACAGTCGAATCCTTTGAGTTTCCCCGTGTGTGTGTGTGTTTGTGTGTGTGAGCCCTGTAAGTGGGCCAACGCTTGCCGCCGATTCGATTTCGAAAGCTAGAACGGCTGGCAAGGGCCAGAGTATAAGAGTTTTGGTTGTAAAATCCAAAAGTCGTCTTGGTTGTGAGTCTGTGGAAGCCAAGTGGTAAGTAAGCTTACCTCAAACGCTTCATGAACTTGAATTGTCAAGTTTGTGAGCGAGATATAAAATAACAGTAGGAAAAGATAAAAAGGTTTTTGTGATTAACAAAATAAATCCATTTTTATTTAATAACCTCTTAAAAATAATATTAGACAGAAATATATTGTACCCCTATGAATAGTACTATCAATAATAAATTTAAAATAATGGCTTTTGGCCTATAAAAATATTGAAAAATCATTTAATACTTATCTAAAACGATCCCAAGCCCTTTTTGTTTTCTGAATCAATATTTAAACATGGTTCTACGATTATGAAGGTATATCACTATGAAATCCCGATCATGATTTATTTGCGACTTCCCACGCCCCTTCCCCTCTGTAGGCCTACCTCAACACCCTTTTGCCCTTGCGAACCTTCTACAAACATATTCCACCACGCATTCCTGTGGAACCTTTTCCTTTCCCTCTCTTTCGCATTTCCACCCAACTCTCGGGATGTCTCTTTTCAAAATCGCATCTACCCAGATGAATGAGAGTTTCAGAAAGCGGTTACCAAGAGCATCTCGCACTTACTGCAGTTTCGCTGGCAAAGGCAGCCAGTCAAGGATCATTATTACAATGAATACTTGACTAATATATGGCTAAAATAGGTGCAGTAAAACTATGAACCGAATGGAGTACATATAGCCCACATCAACAGATGAATAAGTAAATCAAGGACTAATAGAACCATTTCCGGGTTCTGGCATCGTTTTAGGAAACGCAAATGTCAGACCTATTAAGCCCAACAGTTTGGCCAAGCAGAGTGATTAATTAATCAGAATTTTCTGATTGATTTCGTCAAGGTTTTGGCTAAAAAATGGCACCGCTACAACTGAACCTACACCACCATCAAAATCACGCATCACACCGCTTACAAAAAAAATCTACTACAATGGGGTGTAAGCATGTAAGTTGACATGGGACCACGAGACCCGAAGCTCGCATCTCTCCGCTTTCTCTGAACTTTCTCTCGGCTTTCTCCGGCTCTCTTTTCGATTTCGAATTCGTGCATTCGCCAGACATGCGCCCGAAACGAGCAACACAAAAAAAAAACCCAATGAATTGTGGAACGCAAAAACTTTCGCTTGGCATGAATGGGATTTTTTCAAAATTTCCAACGGTTTCACTCTTATACCACTCAAAGAAAGCTCCCGTTTCGCAAGAAAATCCACTCAAAGGACGAAGAATGGGGCCCATGGGTAGCACTGCAACAATTGCACAGCCTAATCTTATCAAATTTCATTTACACGCTTGGCCAAACTCTAATGGCAAATCCAATGCCGAAATGAAAATAGCATTAAACCACTTTCGTCAGCACATACACACACACACACACTCGCGGGTTATTTTTCCTTACTTTCCACATATACTCGTATAGAGCGCACATATAGAAAATGTAACTAGTGATGTTGTCAAAGTATTTGGCTCCTCAACGCGACATTCTTTGGGCCCAAATTGCGCTGGCTAAACATTAACTAAAACTGCAAAATTCCATCACTCACACACACATAATCAAAAGCCCAGGACGACACTCACACACATGCAGTTTCGTGTGTGGTTTCCTACAAAATCTCAGCGCTCAACCGCCAAGCATGGCATTTCATCAGGCGGCAGCAACGAGAGCAGCAGCACCAGAATCAGTCTAAAACTAATCAGTAATGGGCGATTTGATACCCATTAGTTACTTCTCCTCAGATTTTATAAAACAAAAAGTTTAGTTCCCTTTCCCAGTTCTGCTTTTGTTATGTCATGCAATATTAAAATATTATTAAGCTTAAATATTCGTGTTTCAAATTCGATAGGGTGTTGCGATTCCACAATGTGGAGTTTCCAAAATTTCATATTGGATATACCATAGATCATAAATCATATTAAGCATTTTATTACTCAAAAATGTAAATTACATAAATTTTGTTGTATTATTCCTATATTATTATTTGCAACTACCCCTAACCAAAATGAGTAGCAAGTTTTAAAAACCCTTAACCCCTTTTCCCTGGCTGGCGAAAAACCCCAGCAATGCGAGCAAAGGAAGTGCACTAAGTGCAGTGACCAAATAGCTGCCATGGAGTCCCGAACCGGCGGCTGATCCTGCTCCTGCTCCTGCTCCTGCTCCTGCTCCTGTTTTGCTGCTCTTGCCACCGCCCGGAAGTGGCGATGGTGTTGCACATGACTTTATAGCTTTTTCATTAACGTATGTGTGGGTGGGGGTCTGTGTGTGTGTGTCTGTGTGCGCGACAGTTTGGCTATAGAGCAAAAGTTGCATTAAATTTAAATCATGAGACGGCGGTTACTGTGGCCACCGCTCTCTGATAAACCCACACTGTCGAAAATACATTCGGCTAATTAAATGTGTGCACCTTAAAGGGTGTGCACGAAAATCATGCAGATGCATTTTCTGGCCTGCCTGAAAGCGAAACTTAGGCGGTTTAGGGGACTAAATGCGCATTGAATATTCTGGTTTCTAAGATAGGAAATTTCTAATTTTTCCGAGTGGTGCCGCCTGATCCAAAGTGAGCTGAACTTAAATGAGCTGGGTAAAGTTAGGGCCAAGCGCTGTTGAACGTTTTGTCATTAAAAGTTGATCTGGTTCATCGCAAAGCTTTTGGCGGTGGTCTCAAACTTGACTGCTCCTAACCGCCTTCAAAAAAAAAATAAAACCAGAGCCCTGCAATCACAATTAGCCATACAACACACGCAATTTGCTTGCGAACACGGATTCGCTGTGAGCAACAATTACATAATTATAACGCACTTTTGATGCATTGTCATAAATGGGACTATGCCTGTGTGTGTGTGGGTGAGCCTATGTGTGCGGGCAGGGCAACTAATTAATCAGCTTTCGTAATCAATGCTTAATGATGCAGCACCAACAGCGGTAGCACAACGGCATTTAAATGGTCTATAATTAAATCAAACACTCAATTAAACTGAGGACGAATCGAATTTGGAGCGCCAGGCTCAAATTGGATACGGTTGCTGATGGCCTGCTAATGAATAGCAAGCAATACAAAATTACAGCCTGCCAAAGCTAAGTCATTGAGACCTTTTTCAACCTCTGGCTGGTGAGCCTCAGATGGGTTTCACCCATTAATTAATCAAAACTTCAAATAGTAACCACAGAAACCGAACGGGCTGAGCTGAAACGTGGCGCACATCAAACTGACCAATGGGTACTCAAAGGATTGCTTTGTCCTTTGGCAGGCTAAAAAGTTATCCGTTAATTATTCATCAGGTAAGATATTCGAATGCACATATAAGTGCAATGTGTGGGCGGGGCATAAGAATGTTAGTTTCCATCTGGCTTAATAGTAATTGCTTTTGTATTTAAGAGCCAAAAATTAAATATGTATCATTATTGAGCAGGCAGATGCAGATGCAGATAATATGGCAAACTTTTTAAAACAGTAACAAACACTAAGAGTGTTTCGTATTCGTCGTGCTTCTGCGAACTTTTTTTACTCCTTTGTCTGCCCTTCTATCTTGCTTCCTTTCGGTCAAGCTGTAAATTTATTTTACCACACATTGAGATACATTCCATCGGGAGCATGGCGGGGACAAGTCTTCTGCTTTTTGGCCAAGTGGCAAGTTTACCGAAACTTGCAAAAAAGCTGGGGGAAGCCGAACTAAAAGGAAACAGCAGCACCGGCGCCGGCAACTCCTTGTTGCAGCAATCTAGATTCACAGCCAGCCGCAGAGGTGTAACCAAGTCCTTGCAACAAAAACTTTTAACACATGTTGCTGTGTGTGTGAGTCAATGTTGCTGCTGTTACTGCTGTTGCTGCTTCTGCTGCTCTGCTGCTGCTTTCTTGCTGTTGGCAGCCAGTGAGGCAAGCAAACGCAGCAGCGGCAGACGGACGATCGGCAATGGACGATGGGAGCCTCCTGGCCAGTACCAGGCTTCCTTAAATATTAAAAGTCCAGGCAGGAGGAGGACAAACACAGTTGCATGTAGCAAGTGTGTGGGGCAGCAATGCTTTCCACTGAGAAAAATGTGACAACTATTTATGATAACGATGGGGACAAAATTGGCCTATAATAACCGAAATGCACGTTTGGCTGCTTCAAGTAATTCATAAAAAAATGATTACATAAAAATAGATAATAGATAATGCTGACTAAAATAATATAGTTATTTTATGTATCTCTAGATTTTACTTAATTATAATGAAGCAATGAAAGGCAACCAATTTATTAAAAATATGCTAAAAGATAACTCAGCATTATAGAACTGTTAGGTGATTTTTTGCAGTGCTGGCCAGTACTTTTTGGCCAACTGCCGCCGCTTGTCGCACGTCGTCACTTAGGCAAAACGCAAAGTTTTCTCTTCGCAGTGTGCTGTCAGTCACATGGCCCCTCTTTGCCCCTTCATTGCACCCTCCACCCCTCCGTGTTTTTTCTAGATTCCCCCATCTTTCGCCCCCTTCAATTCTGTTGCCTGCGGTCTGTGTTTAAAGTAGCAACTACAACTACAAACTGTGACGAGCGCACAAGGACACGCGTTAAGCTAAGCTAAAGTTTTGGCACACCCACACTATTGCAAACACTGTTGCCATTTTCCCACAACACACACACGCACACATGAATGCCGCGCATTTAACATAAACAAACTACACTAGTTGCAACAATTTTTTTCTCTTGCTAGCCACGACTTTCTATTTGTTTTCTCGGTTTCT